CACTCATGCATGTGCCAGGGTCTCGCTATGTTGCCCAGGCTGGAGTGCACCAGTGTCTTTACAGCCTCAAACTCCTGGGCTCAAGCAATCCTTCCGCCTCAGGCTCCCCAGTAACTGGGACTACAGGGGAGCACCACCGGGCTGGACATTTTAGAATGAAGATTAATTCTTTTGTTGGGGAGATGAACTGTGCATTATAGGATATTTAACAGCACCCCTGGTCTCTACCACCACATTCCTATTGTGACAATCAAAAATGCATCCAAACATTGCCAAATACCCCCTGAGGGACAACACTGCTCCTGGTTGAGAACCACGGATCTGGAGAAACACTAGGATAGGTGTGTGAAATGTTGTGCATTGCATCATTGTTCATAGAACTGGATATAACACAAATGCTCATCGACAGAGGGCTAGGTAAATAATATACTACATGACATCCATGCAGTGGAATACCGCGCAGCCATTACAAAGAACCAGCCCGAGTTCTATACACTTACTTGGAAAGACGCCTATAATAGATCAAAACAAACAAAAAAAGCAGGTTTCAGAACAGTATGTCTAGTATAATCCCATTTTTGTACAAGAAAAACAGCAAAACCTACATATGCTCCATACAGTTGTATACAGCATAGGAAAAAGTCTGTAACAACACACACACACCAACAGGTAGTTGGTAAGTTACCACTGGGAAAAGGGTTGGGAAGGGGAGAAGGGAGATAGATGGATCTCTCTCTTTCTGTAATTTTGTATTGTTTGAATTTGTTATGCCAAAAAAAGAAAAAGAAAAGCTAAACTAAAACTAAACATAAAATGATTTTAGAAGAGACTTCAGGATTAACACTAGTTCTTGAATATTTGTAGTAACAGGGAGGGCATTGCCTACACAGTGACAACCTCCACGCCACCCAGCATGGATTCTTTTTTTCTCTCACCCACCCTGGAACTCCTCTATAGGCACCTGTGAGAAGCCATTAAACAAGGGGCAGCCGTTACCCAGGGAACATCGGGTCACACTGAGCAGTGTCAGTTTCCTGCCCATCTGGGAGGGAAGAAGCAAGCTCCATGGCAGGTGTCCTGGCTCAGTTTCAGGAGGAGACTGGAGGCTTATCAGGCTCTTCCCGGTGTTGGGGTACATAAGTGCCCCGCAGTGAGTGGGTGCCCATGTGCCCAAGGGTTCAGTTGAGTGGCTCTGGAGACGTCCCCGCGTGGGTACACAAGAGTCTAGGTGTGCCTCAGGGTGTGTTTTTTCTCCCCAAGTCTGAGAAGACGCCCGAGAGTTCAGGTGCCCAGGGCTGTGCGCGGGGTTTTGCCTCTGGCGTCCCAAAAGATGCTTCTCAGGTTAGGTGTGACACGTGTGAGTAGAGTCCCCTCCCCCACATGAGTACCTGCGCCTGTGTGCTCCTCCGGGCCCGCCCCGGAGAGCAAGGGTGCAGGTCCCCGAAAGGACCGCGAGAAGGGAGAAGGTAGAGATCACTCACCTGGTTCGGCCGGTGCGGCCCGGATCCCCGCTCTCAGCTCTCGCTCCCTCCTTGCTCAGTCCAACCCAAAACTCAACTGTTCTCGGCAGAAACTGACGGGCTCCTGGGCCAATCATTGCGCAGCTCCCGACAGGGGCTGGACCAATGGTTGTACGCTTTAAAGTCCAGCCAACACCGCCCCCAAGATGTCACTGGGTAATGTAGTCCTCTGCTACTAAAGGCTTCCCCCAACCCTGGGAGGCGCAAAGCCTCTTGGGAGATGTAGTCCCGCTGCGCGCGCAAGTTTTGCGCATCCGTCGGCAGAAGGCGAAGCCGCGATGCGACCTTAGAGGTCGCCCTGCTCTGCCGTGTGGCTCGAAAATCAGCCTGCAGGCTAGGCGGAAGGTTAGGGCGCGCTGAACTTGACATGCTTTCCTCAAAACCCTGCTAGTATCAGAACCCAGATAATCTAAACTTGAAAAAGATAGTGTGAAGCCTAACAAAAACCTGGAGAACATGGGGAAGAGAATAGATGTGTTTTTTTGTTTTCTTTTTGAGACAGAGTCTCACTCTGTTTCCCGGAGTAGAGTGCCGTGGCGTCAGCCTAGCTCACAGCAACCTCAAACTCCTGGGCTCAAGCGATCCTCCTGCCTCAGCCTCTCGAGTAGCTGGGACTACAGGCATGCGCCACCATGCCCGGCTAGTTTTTTTTTGTATATATTTTTAGTTGTCCAATTAATTTCTTTCTATTTTTAGTAGAGACGGGGTCTCGCTCTTGCTCAGGCTGGTTTCGAACTCCTGAGCTCGAACAATCCGCCCGCCTCGGCCTCCCAGAGAGCTAGGATTACAGGCGTGAGCCACCGCGCCCGGCCCTTTGTTCTTCTTTATAGCGCTTACACCATGGGGTACTCATACTGTACATTTGAGTCTTGTCTCTCCCTCACTAGAATGTAAGCCCATGGAAACGTGGCCTTGGCTCGTCTGTGCACCCCAGCATTTCCAGTGCCTGGAATAGAGCCTGTCACAGTAAGAGCCCATAATATTTGTGGATCGCATGAATGACAGGCTTGGCAGGAAAATGGTCCGCTCCCAGAAATCAACCGGCTTTCCAAAAGCATCTGGCAACTTGATGGCAAACCCCTGCCTGAGGTAAAGTGTGAGCCTACCCAAGTGGAACCCTGAGGGGGACAAAGGACATGTGGGGCCAGAGAATGGGGGTTGGGATTCTCTAACCAGCCCACACTATCCAAAGGAGGAGCCCAGTGACCCCCAGGTCCCTTCACGTTTCCCTTCCTGATCTGTGGACACCCCTCCTACCCACTGTGGCACAATGGGGCCGCGCCATGCCATGAGCCACACCATGGGCTCCTAGGCCCCAGCTGACCGAGACCTGCTGACCTCTTCAGGCTCACATTGGACCATTCTCCTTCTCCCCCACTCCACCAGGGTGGTCTGAGTGCTTCTGAACAGTTCCTAGAAAACGCTTCGAGAGTCCCTATCTGTCGGCCTCGCCTCTGCACCCACAATTCCCCACATCTGAAAGGCAGTCCCCTCCCGCCCCCTACTCACTCTTCCAAGGTCAGCTGCTCTCATCCACTGGGGCTCAGCTAAGGAGCACCCCTTCCAGGAGATGTACTATTTCGTTTCTAGCATTCACAGCAGCTGCTAACGTACACTCAGGAAGG